AGAGAGAGAGAGAGAGAAAGAGAGAGAGAGAGAGAGAGAGAGAGAGAGAGAGAGAGAGAGAGGCAGACAGGCAAGTAGGCAGGCAGGCAGACAGACAAGCAGCAAGCAGCCAGGCAGACAGATAGACAGGCAAGCAGGCAGACAGACAGACAGACAGACAGGCAGGCGGGCAGACAGAGGCAGACAGACAGGCAGGCAGGCAGGCAGGCAGACAGACAGACAGGCAGACAGATAGACAGACGTGCTGCATGTACCCAGGCTAGGCCATCTGGAGGGCATTCCATACTTACTTCCACATTTTTTCATGCTTCCCAAAAACCTCTTTAAGGAATTTATTTCTCACATTTCACTTGAGACCAGTGGCATTCAACCAGAATGTCTTTGTCTCCCCATTCACCCAACACATGAAGGTGTAGAGGGTATACCAAGCACAGGTATTGGCTGACTCACAAAGACAAAGGTCTTGCCTTTGTGAGACCCAGCAAGGCAGGCATTAAAGAAAAGTTCTCAAGGTAATATGCCTTAAAACACACGGGGAGTAAGTACTAGCCCGTGGAGACCATGACATGGGAGTCATATCTCATGACTAGGTAAGCTGGGGTATGGGGCTTACCTTCCGAGTCCAGTACTACACAGGTGTTACTCATATCTCAGGCCATCAATGCCCAGGGTTCTGCTGCTGAAACTCCCTCCTTGATTTGTCACATGGAGTCGTGATGTCACCCAAAGGCAGCTGGTGACGGTCTTCCATATTTGCTGCTGCACTGTTTGTAATAGCTGAGCTGTGGAGCGTGCCCAGAGGTCCAGTAGCAGATGGAAGGAGAGAGAAAATGCAGTACCTTTGCATGATGGAACTTTGCTCACCTGCAACAAGGAATTAGATCAAAACATCTGCAGGAAGATGAACCAGAGATCATCATGCTTGAGAAATAAAAGCTCAGAAAGACATCATATTTTCTCCCACATGCAGATTTAAATGTATATGCGTATGCGCTCACAAATGAACATTGAAAGAACCTTGTGAGAGGGAGGAAGAAGTTTAAAGGTGCAGAGAACAAGAGAAGATTACAGAACGTTTGTGACTTGAAATCAGAAGGAAGGCGAGCAACAAGAAAGCAGTGGTAAATTGGTGACGTTTCAGTGTGGAGTGAGAGCTAGAGTCTACCCAGAACGAGGCCGAGACAGGGGTTCTGCACAAACTGCAAGAGGCCCAGCAGTGATCGGGGGTCCCCCTTTTCTAAGTGCTAGCCACATGGTTGTGAATGAGCCAAACCTTCTATGGCTGATTGTCATCCCTGAGTCTTCCCGTCTACATCCTCACCCTTACCATGTCCTGTGGTGGGCTGAGTCCATTTCCCTGTTTCTACCACGGGGCTCAGCCTTGGGGCTTGTTCTAGCCAATGGACTGCAAGTAAATAAGCTGCCCTAAAGGCCTGAAATGTGTTTGAGCAGTCGCTGGCATTGACTCTCTTCTGTGTCTTGTCATTACTGTCAGAAGAGTCCTGGGCTTTGTGAAACTCAACAGGTGGACTTGAGCCCACCAGACCTTCAGCTTGAAGCGGTGACCAGCCTGGACAAGGCTCAGAAACACCCAAAATGCTCATTAATTATCATGTGCTACCAAGATAAAATGGTTGGTTATTGCACAGCCATTCCTGGTCAATATACTTTGAACCGCCGCCACTCTGAGAGGCAGACTTTCTTCTCTCACCTCTGACCACTGTAGACTCTGAGGTTTACATATCGGCCAGCATCATAAAATTAGCAAGTGGCACTGTTGGGATTTAAATCTAGCAGACTCTGGAACTCTTATCCTATGTATGGGTTTTAGTGCTGCTTCAGGAAAGCCCCACAACGATGCACCCACATGTGTCATGTAAATTTGGATGTGACGTGGTGACAGCTGTGCCCTACATCCCAGAGCTTCCCAGATGCACACTCAGCCAGTCCTGTCACAAACTTTCCAACGACGCTCTTTACCTTCACGGCTGGGAACGTCCAGTCCATATTTCCAGCATCGTAACAGCTTTTACTATATTACGATGAGATGAAATTCAGGAGGAATTGTTATCATAAAACATTAGTGTATGCTGGGAAAGGGGTAAAAAGGAAGGGAAAGAAGTGGACTGTATTTTAGAAGCAAAAGTCCCAAAGAGAGCAAGATATGATTGTTATTTGCTACAAGGAGAGGTGTGATATTCTCACTTCAGCAACAGATCGGGGTGTGGGGTAGCAGAACAGGGATGGACAACTCAGTTCCCTGGGCAAATGCGCAGTGGTTGGATCCAGGATGAGTCAGGTAGGAGACCGAATGCTGATCCGTGTGCGCTAAGCCATAATCCAGAGGAATCGGGCAAGTTCAAGGCTCCCCGCAAGTTTTTCTCCTCAAACACTTCTCCAGCTAACTGGATTCCTGATCCTTTCTCCAGCCTGGGGCAGGAAAGTGAAGTGAGCTGGCTACAGGGCAAGCCAGCAGCAAGGAAAATTCCATGTCCTTGAAGCCTCAGAGGGCAGGAGGGGCTGCTCCCTAGTGATACTATTTGTCCTGACTTTGCTCAGTTGGGCAGGGGAGACACTGACTGCTGCTCCAACTCAGCTCGCTGCAAACCCGGACAGAGGAAGGCCCCAGTGCTGGGTCACACTTAGTAATGGGTCACAACTAGGGAGATTTGCGAAGGTCGGGCTTTCACAGAGGCCATGTGTGGGGAAAGAGTAGTCGGGGAAAAGGAATTTGGGCTGAACTATTTTGGATCCTGGCCTGCCTCTTCTCTGCTCATGAATTGAAAGTCAGAATGGCCTTAAATTCTTTCTTTCTTTCTTTCTTTTTCCTTCTTTCTCCCCTCCCTGCTTCAAGCTGAACTCCCATGGGAGTCCTAGGGGACAGGACACCACACACCCTTGTAAGTGTTAGGTTATCCCAGGGGGCTGCGGGCATCTGCTTCATACACCCGCAGAGCTTCAAAGGAAAGACAAGGAAAAGTAAGGACGAGAGTGTGGCTCACCACAAATGCACCAGACTTCAGCCTGCTGCCTCCCCGGTGCCTGCTCTGCCCAGGGTGGGTCGCCTCTCCCAGATCTGGCGGCTGGGTCACAGCTTTGCTATGTGTTTGTCTCTGAGCAGGCCTGACTTCAGCAGTGACTAAGCTTGGAAGCTGTAAAGCTTGGTAATAAACCTGTCAGTGAGGCTGTGGGCTGAGCCAGCATGCTGACCCTGGGTGTCTTCCTCAGCGGGGCAGAACCCCCAGGTCCCCCTCTTCCCAACACCCTAGCAGCCCTGCCTGCAATGCGCTGGGAGCCGGGTACCTCCCAGGGTCTTCCCATGCAGCCACAGCATCAGATCCAGGTCGAAGAAGATCCATTCTGCTCACTGAATCTGTCCTTTAGTCAGAGTGGGCAGAGGGAGCTGATGGCAGAGATCGATGTATGAGCATGAGCCAGGCAGAGTTCCAAGCCAGTCTCCAGTGTTACAAGTCAACATGGCCTTGGGCGCCTCAGCTGCACCTCGGCTTACCAATCTGAAAGGTAAGGATGGTGGTGCTTTAGGACAAAAGGACACTGTGGGCATTTCCTGAGGTCCTGAGGATGATGGTGGACTCAGGTGGACCCAACTGGGTGGGGGCGGCACAAACAAGTGCTCAGAATGGGAGAGGTCTTTCTCTGTGGGCGGATTCCTTTCAGAGTTTATTGCCCTTCTCCCTCCCCCTCATCTATCCTCCCCTTCTTCCTCCTCCCTCTACTTCCTCCCTCCTCCTCCTCCCCCTTCATTCCCTCTTCTATTCTTCCCGCAATCCACCCTCTTTGCTGCAAACCTCCCCATTTGTCCTCCACCCTCTCACCCCTCCTCTCTTCTCCGCAAACACTTGGGACCAGAGATAGCTCCCAGCCTGCCTCTGCCCTGTCCCCAGGTGGCTAAGAGGGTGCAGGTCCAACTCCTGATGGCAAAAGTAGGCATAGCTTGCCTGTGAACAAGCGCTGTCCTTGCTCTGGGTGGTCCTGTTCGTGGGACTTTTCCCTTCGAGGCTGAAGATGCATTGAGTTCCATTCAGACTCCAGGCATAAGATCCTCTGGTGGCCGTGAAGGAAGGAAAGGGGAGTTGCTGAAGAGAAACCTCTCACAGAAGCAGGAGGCCAGGAAAGTGGAACTGGTCTGGAGTTCTCAACCGCAAAGCTTCAAGAAGGAAGTCGAGACAAAGACCACTTAACAAAATCATACCAACCCTAGTCTGGAAGAAGTGATTGCACTTCATCTTTCTTCACCCATAATCTCCCACCCCCTCCTTCTGATGGGTGGGCCTGAAACAAAAGCATTTAAAACCAGAGGTGGGTGAAAGGCAGAGACGTCTGTGGCACCTTCCCGCCCAGCTCAGCACCAGGGATCAAGTCAAGAGGAGGCCCGATCGCCTTGCCAGATGATCTGCATACAATGAAGACATAAATCAGTCACCACCAATTTTTATCCTGCCCTGGTCCACCCTTTACTGCGGAGGCTGGAGGCTGGTCTGAGCTTCAAGCAAGGATAGGGTGGGGGAGAAAGGGGCACCTGGCCTGCCTGGGTGACTCCGGTCCTGGAGCTGCCACCTATCCTGCTCAGGGAGACTTGTGTCCAAAGACACGGGGAGACAGATTAGCTGCCATCTGGCACCCAAAGGTGGAGGCCAGGTACCCCAGCATAGTCTTCCACTGGTAAAAATAAATAAATAAATAACAGGGACTGGGGAGGTGGCTCGATGGTTAAGAGCACTGTTCCTGCAGAGGATCTGGATTCAATTCCCAGCACGCACATGGCAGCTCACAACTGTCTATACCTCCAGTTCCAGGAGATCTGACACCCTCACACAGACATACATGCAGGCAAAGCCTACTCTGGGAATGCAGAGCACTCCCAGAAGCTGTCTTTCAGCTGCACAGGGAAGCCCTTGCCAGCTACTCTTCCCCTGCCCCTCCCATTCGGCTTCCTCCCTTCCCTCTTCTTCTTCCTTAAATAATGGCTTCCAAACCTTCAAGACCGATGGGACCCTCAGCCCTACCTACAGTATGCTGTTGCTCTGGAAACCGCTCCTGATTCTTGGGCTCGGCAGAGACTGACATGGTGCTACCTGTTGGAATTGGACGTTTATGGAGGCAGTGGTCATGGAGCTATCCTTGGCAGAAAGAGACACAATTCAACCCGAGAAGCTCCCCTTAGAGATGGAGACTCAGTTGCAGCTGGGATCTTCACTGATACACAGAAAAGAACTCCAGGACCAGTCAGCGTGAAGCCGAGTTGGAGTTCACTAGGCGAACGGAAGTAAGCTCTGGATAGATCCCAGTGTGGGCATTAACAGACACGTACTTGGATGTCTTAGAGCACTAAAGTGTCTCTATGATTCAGTGGCTTTGGATACATTGTTCAAAGGTTTAAATTTAGAAAGCTTTTTAAGTTAACTTGTTTGCTTGCCTCCTTTTGTAAACAAAACTGTAAGGTGCCTTTTCAGGTGCATTGTCCAGGCTTGTGGCTGAGAAAGGAATGCTGGGAAGATTAAAGCTGAAGGGTTTAAGATATGTGTTTTGGCCCTAAGTATGGTTCATTACCTGTTTTAATATCCTTGTTTGAGATATTGCTCCCAGAACGGCTAGAGTTGGAGCCTGCGCAGTCCAAACAAGGCTGAGCCATCCATCCACAATAAGCCAAGCGAACAGAAGAGCAATAGAGAAAAGCCGCGGTGAACAGATGTATTAGACAAGGTCATGTGGGGAAAGGAACAAAAGGGTCCTACGAGACGTACACACACACACATACAGAGAGAGAGAGAGAGAGAGAGAGAGAGAGAGAGAGAGAGAATAAAACACCTTAATTGCAAAATTTAAAAAGGGACCTCAACTGTAAAAACTACAAACAAATCAAACAGGCCAGGCGGTGGTGAAACATGCCTTTAATTCCAGCACTCAGAAGGCAGAAGCAAGTGGATCTCTGTGAGTTTGAGCCCAACCTGGTCTGCTGAACAAGTTCCAAGACAACTAGGAGCTACATAGAGAAATTTTGTCTCAACCCCCCACACTCCAAATCACAAATTACCATCCAATGAAAATGAGACAATGTCACTGGAGACACCTGTAGTCTGCCACAGCCAAAATTGAAGGCTTTAAGTGTTTAAAACAGTATTCTTCAATATACTGAATAGACTTCAATAAGAAGTCCACAAATAACAATTAATTCACATACATGATCAAAACATAACCTAGACCCCCAAAAACCTCCCTCATGCCCAAACAAAAAGCTTAGTTACAAAAAAATTCCAGGTCTCTAACCTTCTGATCTGCAGTTGATAGATGAGAATTGAGCAACATCAGCCGCCGGCCCTAGAGAAACTGGGTGCTGCAGCACGCTTTCTCTCTGGGGACCTTTTCTCCGGTGAATAAACTGACCATAGCACTGGACACCCTCGGAGAACACCTGACCCAGGAGGCCATCTCCATGGGTGTAGTCGTGACTATGTAACATAGACGTCACTTCCTGGACGTCTATGAGGTGACAGTCAATCAATCACAAGAGGATGCTGGCTTTTTAAACAGGGGCTATGTTTTCTCTGTTGTGTCTTTGTGTCCCTGTGTTCCATTTCTGGATCTGATTCTGGCTGGGACTGTGTGATGTCTCTTGGATCTGAAGTCTCTTGACTACCAATCCAACTAGCTCTTCTTTAGCTGTGTGTTTAAACCTTTGCACAGCTAATAGCTGAACTGACTCAGTGGTAGGGTTCCAGCCGCATGTGTGTGAGGCCCTATATTGAATCCTCAGTACAAGAAGGAAAGAAAGGAGGATGGAGGAAGAGGCACGGGGTGGCAGGAGAGGGAGGGATGCAGAAGGAAGGGGGGGAGGATGGAGGAAGAGGTGTGGGGTGGGGGAGGGATGCAGAAGGAAGACGGGGGAGAGGATGGGGGGATACAGAAGGAAGAGGAGGGAGAGAAAAAGAAGGAGGAATATTTTGCTCACTTCAAGAAAGAATCATGAAGAAGCAAGAAATGTCATTGCCCTGGAACCTGATCTAAGAGGACAGAGTGTGCTGGGTGCCCTCTGAGAAAATAAAGAGGAGAGCTTAGACAGTCCAAGGTGTTCCCTGCTGCTACCAGAAACCGCTGGGGACCCGCCATTCTGCACATGCTCATTGGGGACCCGTCATTCTGCACATGCTCATTGGGGACCCACCATTCTGCACATGCCCATTGGAGACTCGCCATTCTGCACATGCCCATTGGAGACCTGCCATTCTGCACATGCCCGTTTCTTTGGCTTTGAAGGAAGCTGCTGGTGGGAACAAGCTCTAAAGGATGCTTGGACCACCAGAGCCTGCTGCTTGTTAACAGAAAGGCAGGGGAAAACCGGGTTCTTCTTCTTCTGTCTCAGTTTCAGCTGTCTTGCCTTGGGTTTCTCATCTGAAAAATGGAATAATGTTGAGATGATCCCTAGACAAGTTGCGACCTACAGCAATGGAGCTGCACTTAAAGCAGCCACTTTCTCCCCGTGGAGACAGAGCTCTATCTACAATTAGGCGCCAGCCATCCCCGTAAGTAGCCCAGGCTAGCCTCCAACTTGCCACCCTCCTGCCTCTGCCTCCAGGGAACTGGAATCACGGCTGTGCACCCCTGAGCTCTCAATGGGGTCTCGTATCCCAGGCTCTGCCACCTTGAACTTGTCGCAGTGCTCCCTACCTACGGCTCCAAAGTGAAGGGATCGCAGGAGTGTCCCACTGTGGCAGACCTGACAGCCCCTCTTCTGCCTTTTGAGACAGCAACATCCCCTATCCTATCACAGCTGATTGCCCAACAGGCTCTAAACGCTGGATCCACAGAACTCAGCACTGGCTCTGACTTCTTTTTCCCTTGGATCTGGGCAGTGGTCCTGCTGTCGCAACCTTCTCTAAGACTTCTGGATCATTCCAGGCTGCGCCCTCTCTAAGATTTCTGAAACACTCCAGGCTCTCTGTTTTACTTTCACGCTGCCTCCCTCTCTCCCTTCAGTACCCTCTTCTTACTGCGCCAACCCATATATATTTAGCTCTTTTAATCTTGCTTCATAAATCATTGCTGCATGTCAAGTTCCTGCACTGCTGCCAAGGCATATCTAAAATACTTCCTTTCTGGCCAGTGCTTCAAGGTCTGCCCAGCTGTCAGAGCTGCCTCTTACCAGGACGGTCGATAAGGAGGCTGCCAGAGCCGCTCTGGCATAGGCTGCAGCACTCCCAGCCCTTTCTTTGAGAGCTGTTGAAACTGCACTGGAAGATCATGGAGGTTACTGGCGTCACCACTCTCCGCTGAAAGTGTCCCCTGATGGCTCTGACTCCAGCATCAGCATCTGAGCTGAAATCTGCATCTTTTATTTGCTGAGAGTTTTGGTTAAGTTCCTTAAATTCAATGTGCCTAAACATCCCAAGCTAAAAGATGGGGTGAATGCTCGCTTTGTTGAGCAGCTTTGAGAATT